CCCTATGAGGAGACGAAACTAGAAACAGACTATGGATGAGAATATTTGGATGAATTATTGAAACTGATGAAATTTAAAATTGAAAAGAAAAATTCCCATTAAGGGAAAAATTGAAAAAAAAAAAGAAAAATGTAAAAATAGAAAGAAGAAGAAGTAATTGAGGTTAAGAAATGATCATTTAAACAAATTGAAATTTTTGAAATGAGATGGTAGGAGTGAATAGGGTATGGACCCTGAATACCTTCTCGTTTAGTCTAAATCAAGGAGGGAAGTGTGTATGTGTGGCTGAAGTTCAGCGGGCATGGTGAACTTGCACATGGATAGAGTCTGAAACCTAATCCAGACGTAGATAGGCATTCGTGTGAGTGTGTGCTACCAGCAAACGTACCTACTGTGGCCATTGTGTAATTTGTGTGTGTACTATCCATGCGATGTGGGATTCATTTCGCCTTTCTTTGATGATGACATAAACGGCATCGCACGATGAAACTTTAGAAATGACATTTCGATGTATAAGTGATCTTTCGTGTGTATGTGATTATGTTTCGAGATTATGAACGAGATTCGAGTGCATTTGTGATCTTTTATGTGTGTGATTATGTTTCGAAATGACGATTGATATTCGCGTATATTTATGACTTTCAAGAATATGGGAATATACATTTGAGATTAATATATGATTTTCGAGAGAATTCATCAAATCAATCAAGAACATGTTGAATAACGAAATTAAGAATATGAATTTTGCACTGAAATATTTTTATTGTTTTTGTTTCTTACCGTATATTTTGCATGAAATTTTATCTAAGTTGAGAGAATGGAAATACTTATTGAGTTGGGAAAACTCATTAAATTTCACCCTGATATTTTTCAGATGAGAATAAAGAGCCAGCACTACTGCTAAATGAGTAGAACATGTAAAAAAGGTTCTTATTTTTGTGTATTTTATACATATTCAAAAAATTTTATTTTATTCTGTTAAACTTTAAATTCTGAACTCATGTTTTGTATATATAGTTATTGTATATATCACATAAGATATTAGGTTGTATTATATTTTTTATCCACACATGTATATATTTTATGGATCCACTGCATGAAAATGACATAATCAGAAATTGCGTCTCATATCGAGTAATGGGGCATAACAAAAAAATATTTAAATAAAATAAAAATAACCAAATAATAATTCTCATACTTAAACTCTTCAAATATTTAAAATATAGTATCAAAAACTAAAATTTAATAATATAATTTAAACATAAAAAAATTCATGACTTTGATACTACTATAGAATTATTATATATTCATAACACGCAGCTGAAGATATATAACAATCTAATATTATCTATTTGTGCTTTAAAAATTATATTACAAGTTAAAAATTAAATCTAAAACATATTTGACAGTCGAGTAGTTCTTAAATTAAAATTATTCGAAAGAATGAATACTTTATGTGTATCCACACCGAAACCGACTTTTATTAATCAATTTTTTGAATAACAGAATAAATAAATAAATTGAATAATATTTGTGTTAAAAATTTTTCATAAAATTTTAACAAAAAAAAATTTCCTCAATTTTTTTTCTTTTGGCGTGCGGTTAATTTTTTCAGCTCTTCTTTTCCCGAATTTTTTTTCAATCCTCACTCGTATATATATATATATATATATATATATATATATATATGTATACACATCATAGGTGTTTTTTACAATCCTCACTCATATATATATATATATATACATATACACATCATATATATAGGTGTTTTTTGCAATCCTCACTCATATATATATATATATATATATATATAGTTGGTATATGTGGTCATGTCCTGCTTGACTTCTTCATGTAGAAGTCCATATTAATTTGGACTTATCTACTTATTTTTTTTTTTCTTTTTTAACACCCTATTATATACATATATATCTCATATATATGTTGCCTTTTTTAATTATTATTATTTAATAAAATAATTTTATAAATTAATTTAATTTCAAATTAAATTTTATAATAATCTTTTTTATTATAATAATCATATTATTACATTAATAGTGTAATAATCAAAAATAAAAATATTATTAATGTCTTATTTTAATGATTTAACGATTAAAAATATTTTAAATTAAATCATAAAAAATTTTATTATTATTATTAAGATATCAATTTTAATATAAAATTTATAAATTTAATCAAAAAATTTATCATATAAATTAAATAATAAAATAATAAATATGATAATAAAAATATTATTTTTATATATTAAAATAAATTATTAATAATAATATATTTAATATATTACATAATTAATTGAATGGTTAACATAAACTTGAGTAACTAATTAGTGCATCAACACTCTCGTAAGAGAGAGAGAGACATTGGGGCTCTAGCTGGAGATCTTGCTTTGAGCCAGACCTGTGTGTCACTTTGATATTTTGGCTCTTATATTAAGTGTGTTCCTATATATATGTATGTATGTATGTATGTATGTATAAATTGCTTTGCTTCTTCCAAATAAAAATAAATAAATAAACAAACAAAATGGACGATTTTACCCTTCCTACCATCCTCCTGTCTCTGCTGCTCTTGTTAACCACCTTCCTCTATCTCCACCGCAGGTCTTTCCCCCAAAAATGGAGCATCAACTTTCCGGTAAGTCTAAACTCACCGTCACAGTCCGTCACCCCACCCTCACCTTGGCCAAGACTCCCCATAATCGGTCACCTTCACCTCCTCACAGACATGCCCCACCACTCCTTCGCCCAGCTCGCTCACCAACTCGGTCCCATACTCCACCTGCAACTCGGCCAAGTTCCCACCATCATCGTCTCCTCCGCTCAACTCGCTCGACTCGTTCTCAAAACTCACGATCACATCTTCGCCAATCGTCCACAACTCATCGGCGCTCAGTGGCTCAGCTTCGGCTGCTCCGACGTTACCTTCTCCCCTTACGGTCCTTACTGGCGCCAAGCCCGCAAAATCTGCGTCACCGAGTTGCTGAGCTCGAAGCGAGTCAGCTCATTTAAGTTTGTCCGGTACGAAGAGGTGAACCGGATGTTAAGCGTCGTGTCAACTCAGTCGGGGTTAGAAACCAATATGAGCAAGATGTTTTTCTCGCTGTCGAACGATATACTTTGCCGTGTTGCATTTGGGAGGAGGTTCAAGGAAGAGGGAGAAAAGGGTGAGTTGGTGGATGTACTGACGGAGACTCAAGAGTTGCTTGCTGGGTTTTCCGTGGGGGATTTTTTTCCGGGGTGGGGGTGGGTTAACTCAGTGACTGGTTTTAAACGAAGGTTGAAGAAGAACTTACAGGATCTGAGAAGAGTTTGTGATGAGATTATAGAGGAGCATTTGGGTCGAAGAGACAGAAGGTGTGTCAGTGAAAGAGAAGATTTGGTGGACGTTTTGCTTCGTGTGCAACAACGAGAAGATCTGGACGTGGCCATTACTGACGATAACCTTAAAGCACTTGTTCTGGTACGCACTCATCTTCTCTTCTTCTTCTTCTTCGTTTCACAATTATTAAATAATATTTAATTTTTATTCATTTTAAATTTTGTAAAATATCTTTTAAATTCTTGAATTAAAAGACAATTTTAACATTTAAGAAAGTTATCTTTTTTTTATTTTTTCCGTTAACTGATTCTTCTCCCCTTGACCTAAGGTCTTTTGATTTTCCTGCTGGCCAAACAGAAAAATTTGAAGATTTTTTTTATTAGTAAATTATAATGTTTTTAAGAAATAATAAACTATAAGTTTACATCATATAACTCAAAATTATTTAGAGGTGTGATTTATTTTTAGTAGTTTTAATATTCATATTTTAATGTTAATAAAATAATACAATTGTGTAAGAGTGGTGTCGCACGTGCGGAAACTAACACGTTATCCATTTGAACTTAAATTGCACATAATTTTCTTTAAAGTTAATTACACAATTTGGGAGAGTTCAAGACAAACTTTTGTGCTTTTAATTTTTTCATAAAAATTTATAGAGTCGGTGAGATCATCGTTTTGACCAGAAAGTTTGTATTGCGTCATTATTTGGCGCTTACTAGATCTTGGATAGAATTTAAAATAGGATAATATTGAACTGGATATATAGATATATGCTCTTCGTATGCACTGCGGTTGTCAAATTTTGGCTAAATTGCTAAAAAAAAAAACCAAAAACTTAGTATCCACAATATCTATTTTTATTTAGTTAGTCACTATTTTAATTTTCGAATAAATTAATTTCTTTACCATAAATTTCAAATATCAGATATATATAATATAATATATTTATATTTAATAATAAATTAATATTATCTACTAACGATAAATATCAAGTAACATCTTATTTAAAAGATACATATTTAATTTCAATCGGCCCCATGCTATATACATTTATGTGTTTTTTTTTATGTTAACCATCATATATTAAAATTATTATTAAAATATTTTATTAAAAAATCATATTATAGATTATAAATTTATAAATTAAATTATATTAAAAAAATTTAAATGAAATTACAATATAAGTCATAATTCAGAAACTAAATTGATTTATCCAAAATAAAAATGGTTGGAATCTATAACTTTCATCATCCCCCTAAAAGAAATGCATTGACTAAAGGTGATTGCAAACAACAGGACATGTTCGTTGCTGGAACTGATACAACGGCAGCAACACTGGAATGGGTGATGACGGAGCTAATAAGACACCCAAAAGTGATGAAGAGAGCACAAGAAGATGTCCGGCAAGGTGCCTCCGGCAATGGCGAGGTTGATCAAACTCATCATCACCACTTTAATTACTTGAAAGCAGTAATTAAAGAGGCCATACGACTGCACCCACCAGTTCCTCTGCTTGTCCCTAGGGAATCCATGGACAAGTGCGAGCTTCAAGGCTATGAAATACCTGCTAAGACTCGGGTCCTGATCAATGCCTACGCAATTGGTAGGGATCCAAACTCATGGGAGGATCCTCTAGAGTTCAATCCCGATAGATTCTCTGGCATTGACACTGATGTCAAGGATCAAGACTTCAGGTTTCTACCATTTGGTGGAGGAAGGCGAGGTTGCCCAGGCTTTACCTTTGGGTTGGCCACAGTAGAGATTGCACTTGCTAGGCTCCTCTATCACTTTGACTGGGACTTGCCTCAAGGAATGGATGCTGATGATGTAGATCTCACTGAGCTTTTTGGACTTTCTACAAGGAAAAGAATTTCTCTAGTACTAGTCCCAACAGCTCACCACCAGTATCAATTTAACAAGGCTAATGCCTAGTCTTGAGCTCTTATATATGTGATCAGATCTAGTCAAACTCAAAAGACAGTTAAGACTAATAGAAGTTGCTTTATGTAATAACTTTGTTACTTACAGGATCATGAAATAAAAGTTGCCTCCACATGCTTCATGTCATTTTGTTCTAAGTTTCATTACTTTCAGATTTGAAAAATACAACAATTATATCACTGGTGCAGGGGCTTAATTTGTATTTCTGTTCAATAAATGTACTTGTATAAACAAAATTGTGCGAAACATTTCCCGTAACTATCAATGAGCTTCTCCCATGATATTGTACAGACGGCATGATGCTCTACAAATTCACAGAACCAATTATGGCAGGAATATTTCAACGAGATTAGCTCATTGAGTACCGGTTCTCAGCCTTTAACCCTGGAAAGTAAACAAGTAATGTCAAGAATGCTGCCATATAATACAAAACCTGGAGTAAGACTTGGCTTTTCCAGGTTTTTAAATGAAAAAACAGCATTACCCACTTGTGCTCATTTGGCTTTTCCAGTAGAAGCTTCCTTTGTTTCCTCACTACTCTCTGAATTTAGAGCAGTTATCTTCCCAAACGACTCCTTTGCATCCCCAAAGAAGTCTTTAACTTTGTCAAGCACAGTTTTAAGCTGGTCTTCTGTTGGAAGCTGCAATTGGATAAAATAATTACACATTTCTGAAGGGGATAAAGATAGATGCAAGGCCTTTCAGCCATCTGCTTTCAACTGTAAATAAAAAATCCACAAACCACCATTGTAATACAATTTTTAACTATAGTTTCCTGACTCCTGATCTTTGTAAGGACTAGCTAAAGTTCAAAGACAGAATCCAATCCAGCAACATCCAAGTGCAGTGATTACCTCAATAACATCTGTAGTTGTGATTGCAGCTCTTAGATTTCCAGTTTCCTGCACATTTAGCGAACACAAAATCAAACACAAGATTTCTTCTAATCACTCTCATGCAAGTACACAAATAGGATATGAAGACAAAAACAATGCATATAATATCAAATGTAATATTTATCAATAATAATGCCATACAGGGTGAAATAAAGGACTAAGAACATTACGACAAGTTTGTAGCCATATCTAAATTCTGATGCTGACCGCAGCACACGGTATTGCTTAAATGCTGTCTTCTGTATTTCCTTCTCATCCTATTTGAATCAGAAGTCGGCCATCAGTAAGACAGAAGAAGCAAATTTGAAATGATCAACAACAATACTTCTTGAGTAACAGCAAGCAGAATCCAGGGTACTTTTCAAGTGGGAGTATAAATCTAGAAAAACCAAGTTTGATTCACCAAAAGAAAATAGGTCTCCATCAACCACAGGACAAGTTCCAAATGATGTCCAAGCATGTTTTCGAATTGCTTCTCCTGACTGAGTCAGGTAGCAATTTATTTATAATTTCTGAACACAATTCTATACTTTTCATCTCAAAAAAAAATTCTGAACACAATTAAATTTGAGTGTCTATCGCAGGCTAATCAGTAATGCAAAAGGCACTATAAGTTACAGGTACATGATATTAAGTGCCATTGCATACAGGACTTACCCTGTAAATAACAGCAGCAAGATTTCTGGCCAGTGTGTCCTTGTAGATATACTTCCCCAGGAAATTATCTTTTGCTGCAACCATGATTTTGGCGGTGGTGCCACCAGTTATTATACTAAGTGGGTACCAAAGATACACCTGACAGTATGGCAAGTCAGTAATGCAAAAGGCACTATAAGTTTTTTGATTAAAGGTCATCCTCTTTGTTCTTTTAAGAGTCTTGGAAATCTTATTGACAATCTGATTGATATGTAAATACTTCTTATACATGAGTTTGCACTCTCTTAGTGCATATAAATGAATAGATACATGACTTTTCATTTAAAAAGAAGAAAAACAAAAATGTACAATTCTCCCTATATATGGACTTCAACATATGATCCTGATTTTTTTGTTACCATAGTAATTTATTCAATCTTGTTATTGAGCTAAGTGTGGATTTACAAATAGATTCCACAATAATTCTATTTTTTCTAAACAAGCCTTAGCGTTCCACTTGCAATGAAGCTAAGATGAGAGGAACGAAGTTCAAATATGAAATGCTGTGGCAATTCGAGATAGGAGAGAGAAACTACATTGTAATTATATGTATCATATAAGGACTACTTTAATGAAGTGTACGAATTCCGTATAAATAAAGTAGAAATTGAAACAAACGACCTGCAAATACAATCGGGCAAAAGAAGTTTCTAAATTGCTATTTCGAGTCAGAAAACTCAATTCTTACACTTAATTTTGCTCCTATTTATAGTGCTATGCCGATTTGTAGTATTACACAAGAAATATTACTATATTGCTAAACACAAAGCATAAAAATAAAGAATCTGACCTATCTGAAATACTTGGGCTAGTTTAAAACATATCAACTATATTTACATAATCTACTGAAAAACAGTAAAAAAAAACATTTTATATAATTTCGACGGAAATTAAGAGAATGCTTTCCAAATGTGGTGAAATTTAAAATCCAGTCCAAAATATGCGGGAAATTTGAAGTAACAAAAGTGAGAGAAGAGAAACAAACATTGGCCATGCGGATGAAGACCACAAACCGCGGGTTGCCATCATCTTCAATCTTTGGCAGCGGAGGAGGTGGAGGTCGCTGAAACTGACGAGCCGCCATTCCTTTCTTGCCCTTGGCCTGCACTATCAGTCGTTTCTGCGCCGATTTGAGAGTACTAGTCCTTGAACTGAAAAGTGAATGCTTGACCAGTCCATCTTCGTGAGCTCTCGAGCTCGACAATGGAATTCTAACCAGAGCGTTTAGGGACATCGCCACCTCCATTTGAGCAATCAGCTTGCCTTTTTCTCTCCAGCTTCAATTTTTATGTCTGTCAATCTGTAATTTGGAATCCACTTCGTGGAAGAACCTTATCCACGATATACAGAAAATGGTAATCGGAGAACTTGATGGAATATTCACCATACACGTGGCAGGTGGAATGGCCTCCAGCTGTCGGATTCAAATCGTGGGACCCACCGGCCTTTCTACCCTTCGTGTATTGGCTATTGCTCCAAGAAATTAATATGAAATCGATATTAATTTCAAACGATTATAAGAATAATATATTATTTATTACTAGGCACGTTCTTGTTTTTATTTTTATTTTTTCTTACACTATGTTTTTATTTTATAAAGAAAAAGTTGTTATTTTTTTAAATAAATTATTTATTATTATAGTAATTTTTGATGATCAAATAAATTTTTTAAAAAATTAAATTAAAATTAATAAACATGCTTAATAACTTACTTAAACTAAAAAATATATAAATTCATATTAAAATGAAAAAGAGAATTATTATACAAAGAATATCAAATAAAAGTAGGACAATATATTCTTCTATTCTAGATAAACACAAAATATTTTTAGTAGTATTTTTATGATTTTATAGCTAAAATAAATAAAATTTATAAATAAACATAGTAATATGTTGTACATTAATCTTAAAGTATATTATTAATTTTCAATCATTAAAATTAAAATTTTAGTTATGATTAAAATAATAATTTTTTTTTATAAAAAAAATGAAATTCATTCAAAAATTGTACAGGAAGAGACAATAGCCTATACCAAAAAATGAACAGTTAAATGAAGATATTTTTTAATTATAAAATTTTTATTTAAAACATTCAGTGTCTCTCTAACTAATGTATGAAATACAATATTATAATTTTTAAAAATTTAAATAAAATTATCAAGACAAGAATTATCTTTAAAAAATAATGTCACTAAGAAATAAACCAAGTATAATATCTTCAGCATGATATGATTGATTTAAGTCTATCAACCGATAAGAATCTTCTTTCAACTTATATGTACTGTAGCCCCAATCTTTTGTTACTTACATACCAAAACTAATGTGTGTGCCTAAGCAAGATCAAAAGAGGTAGATATAAGTTGTCCAATCAAATGAACTTTTCTTCATTTCATCTTCCATTATTATTAAGAGACGCATCATAATTAATCTTAAATACATTAGATATTTGCCGAAATGAGACCTTAGCAGCTTTAATAAGTTTATGAACAATATTGTCAATAGTAAGCTAACTAACATTCATAAAATCTAGTTTGTTAACTTATAAATATAATTTTTATATAAACTTCATAGAATATTAACTTAGTGACGCTATTAATTAGATAGTTAATAAATACTGCATAATACATATAAAAGTAAAGATCAATATTCTCTACTAAAATTTAGAAATACAAGTAATCGACCAATTATTATAACCTAAGTCGTAGTATGAGATTTTCTGAAGTAAATTTAACAACATATCACATTCTTATAAAAAAAAATACAATACACAACTTATAATTAATCCATCTCTATACCATTTTAGTA